AGCCGAGCACTTGTTTATCTTGAACTTTTCAGCGTGTTTTTCAGTTAGTTTGAGTCAAGCTGCTCCTCTCTACTCTTCTATAATCTTCTTGAGTGAGTTTAGGGTTATCTAACAACTAACCTAGTACTGGGGACGGGAACTCAGGAAAGAGACAATACACGATCGCGTACTTCCTAGCAGTATTTAAGGAGCTCTCTCTTGGCAGAAACTAATGAACCATGACCATCTTCAAGTGCCTATTTGGGGTAAGTTGGCCAGACTCCCTCCCTCTTTGGACTATATTCTCCTTGACCTTGCCCACTCTTGTAGCTGTCTGGACTTTCTTGTCAAAATGATATTTTGTTTTTGTTATGCTAAATATGTTCCAGGGACTTTTTTTTTTCTTACACTGTATTCCATGATCAACTGGGAATTTTAAAAAAAGGGGGAAGAAAGCTTAATTTCTTACAAAGTCTTTGAATCTGTCAGTTTAACTCATCAGGACTAAAGGGATGAGCTGATTTGAAATGCGATAACCAGCTAAATACACACACACACACACACACACACACACACGTGTCACACACAAATATCTATATTTGCATCAAAAAAGTTTCGAGATGCCAATATATGTTTCTTGCCGTTAGCTGTTTTCAAACCAAGAAGAGAGTTTGGTAGTGGTTTTTGCTGCTTGGATTCATTCCAGCTCCCAACCCTAATTACCAGCTGTGATTCTTTTTATTTTTTTTTCCAAGGAGTTATTTATTTATTTCAGGGAGAGACAGAGAGAGAAGCAGGGAGGGGCAGAGGAAGAGGGAGGGAGAAACTCAAACAGACTCCGTGGTGAGCGGGGAGCTGGACATGGGGCTCGATCTTATGACCCTGAGATCAGACATGAGCCGAAACCAAGAGTTGGCTGCTTAACTGACTGAGCCACCCAGGCACCGCGCCAGGTGTGACTAGGCAAGTCACTCAACCACTCTGCTTTAGTTTTCTTTCTTTTTTAAAAGATTTTATTTATTGGAGGCGGGGAGCAGAAGCAGGGGGAGTGGCAGGCAGAGGGAGAGGGAGAAACAGGCTCCCCGCCGAGGGGAGAGCCCAACATGGGGCTCGATCTCAGGACCCTGGTATCACGACCTGAGCCGAAGGCAGATGCTTAACCAACTGAGCCACCCAGGCACCCCTAGTTTTCTTTATTATATTATTGTGTGGGTGTGTGTGCGCGCATGCGCGCGCATGGGCCTACATAGCATCTTAGATTGACTATGGAGATTAAATAAAGGAATAAACGTTTGATTATTATCATGAATAGTATTATAATGATTATGGTTGAGATTAGAAAGGTATGCCTCTAGAGGTAGGACTAAACTAGCCTTGGTTTAAGGTCCTCGGGTGATTGAGCTACTCTTTAAGGCCTAAGGGCAACCACCCTTCAAATTTCAGAGGATGTTGGGGATGTTAGGCGTGGCAGAGTTTCTGCTTTGCCATATTCCATGAAAGCCTGGAGGCTCAAGACACCCCAAGAGGTCAAGTGAGAACTTACAGTAGGGAGATGTTTACAGTAGCCTCAGTCTATGGATTCCAGGTTCTACCAATTCTGCAAATGATCTTTCAAAGGGAACTCATATTTAAAATTCCCTGCATCTGCTTATATATTCTTTTCAGCTAAACACTATATATTTTAGGAGACAGTACTTCTTTGATGAATAATTATTCATATGTAAAGTGGAAAAGTTTTTTTCCTCTTCCTGATTATAAATGGTATCCAAGTAGCTCTTGAATTGCTAGATAATATTTTATAGCCTGTGAAGTTAGAGAATTTAGCAAGTAGCCGCACTCCCATCGACTTGAAGGATATTTCCAAACGTGTGAGAAAATTAGAGTTGAGTGTCCTGTATATGCATTTCCATTGAAATTTATGACAGTTCCCGGGCACAATCACATCAACCATACATATCCATAGATGGTTTACCACATCAAGTAACTGTGAGTTTGGATTTAATTGCCAACTTTTACCGTGCTAGTAATTCCAGGCAGGGGAATAACAGAGTGATGAGACCCGTCGCGGTTGTTACCGCCGCCTCTAAAAACAAATAAGACTCTTAGGGTTTAATTAGAGAACTTATAATTATACCTAGAGCCTGTTAGTGTTAGAATGTGAACACTGGACATCTGGAGGATGAGTCTAGATTTGGTTACTTGCCTTTAGGAATGAAAATCCATGAAATTGTGACCGTTCAAAGGAGCAGTGATGCTCACACCTGGGGCTTGTGCACAGGCACAAACGACAATGGTGAATGTGAGCTGGTCTGCAAAGCAGAGTAATTCAGAAACGATAAATGGAAAAGGTATTTAACATCACAAGGAATCCAAGATGGTGACTGGCTTCTTCGGCCCTGCCATGAACAGAAGTCATTTAAAAGAAGAGTAGGTGCATAAAAAATGTGTTCTTCCTTCATAACCCCCCCTTTTTAAAAAAGAGATATATTTATTTATTTTAGAGAGAGACAGAAAGAGTGTGGGGGGAGGGGCAGAGGGAGAGAATCCTCAATCAGGCTCCCCACTGAATGTGGAACCCAACGTGGGGCTCGATCTCACAACCCTGAAATCATGACCTGAGCTGAAACCAAGAGTCAGCCGCTCAACCGACTGAGCCGCCTAGGCACCCCTTCATAAAACCTTTTTAACATGTGGCCTCGGGAACTCACAGCCACACAGGATGCCTGCTGGTATTGGAGTCTTTTAGGAAGAGAATGACTGAAGGACCACCTCTGGTTACACAGGCTCAGTGGAAAGGAGAATATACAGCAAAAGGCATAGAACAGCTTTGATAGACAGCATCAGCTCTCTTCTCTCCCTCCAGTGCCAAACAGTATTATGGATATATTTGTGTGTGTGTGTGTGTGAGTGTGTGTGTGTGTGTGTGCATACATATACAAACATGTTTGTGTGTGTGTGTATTCCACATATATATTCCATCCTCATAAATGCAGTAGAAATGCTAATAAGAGAAAGATAGGATACTTGTTTCCATTTTTTCTTTCAAAGTTATGAACAGTTTTTTTTTTTGTTCCTTATAAGGTTTTAGGAATAACGTTGAGAAAATTTCTTCTGTACTTTATAGTAGATCCCATCGAAAACTAGCTTTTCTTTTTGTAGTTTAGGAGTAAAATTTCAGGCTTCTTGGCATAGTTTATATTCCCTCTCTTCCTCCATAAAAAGATAATTTCAATGTCTCCAAGTTACAAGGAGTCCACTCTACATGGTACGGCAAAATTTAAATTATATGATTTAGATTACTCTAGAGTAAAACTCCTTAAAAACAGAGAGCACAGCCTAAGTGTATGGTCTAGAGGCAAGAGTAAATGGAGTGGAAAGTAGTAAAAGATTGGCTTGAAAGTTTTAATACTTATGATCTGGGAGCCTGCTGCAGTTATGTACTCATTGGGAGACACAGATGGGACAAGGCAGGTAGGTATGTGTTGAGGGAAGCAATTTATGAATACTCAGCCATGAAATGGAAAATCAGAATGAAATAAGTACAACTGTAACTAGCTTGGTCTATTAATATTTAAATATTAATACCTACTTTTTTGTGAGAGATGTTACCGAGTATTTACTGATGAGAAGCAATGATCGCTTGGGAAGAAGAACATGTTCAAGAGCTGCATTTAAACCAGGTTTGAATGACATGTGGTTTTCTTAACTCAAGGTAATAGCCAGTTAAAATAAGTTCCCCATCCAAATGTGTCTTCAAATTTAGGGTCCTTTGGAAAAAATTTCCAAAATGCATTACAACTTTTGATAGGGGTGACACCTGGTCCTATTTTCCAAAAACTTTGATTTAATATATGAATGCAGTGGTATCTGACTCTGTTAGTATAGAATATTTAAACTTAAAAACAAAATACCTTAATTTGTTTATGCATAAGCCTATTAAAAATGTTTCTAGGGGCTCTTGTTTTGTTTATTCTCTAGAATATAACCTATCTTTGAAGTGGTATATGAGTTTTTAAAAAGTCATTCCCAAGCTAAGTAATTAGACTGGAAACAAAAGCTATTCTTAGATCACATTCCACATAGAAAGCTATGCACATGATGCTTTGATTCAAATAATATTCTTATAAAACTTTGTTATTGTTTGAGGCCTACATTCAGAGTGGCAACTTTTGTTTTTGATGATTATTCCATCCTGAAACAATTCCCCCCCTGCCCAATTAAACCAGAATTAGGAGCACATTTATATCTGATGAGGCTTAAACTTCTCAACCGCCTGCTTCAGAAGAGAAGACCTTTAGTGGTTATGTTCATTCTGTCTCTGCACAGAGGGCTCAAAAGAAAACAGAATCAATTCCCTAAGGTTTTTCTGGAAGAGGAAGGTTGTTTTTGTTGCTTTGATCTTAGCATGTTGTGCATTTTTTATTGGCTGTTGAATATAAAAAGCCATAGCCTCATCTGGTTTTTCTGCTATATTCTCATATTGTAAATCATATATGCCTTCCAATCTAAAGTTAAATGCCTAGGTCCAAAATATTATTTCAAAATTGGCTTATCATTGCAGTCAATAGAAAGACTTCCAGGGTGTAAGAAAACTCTCCAATGTTCAAATAGTATGTCACAGACTGCTAAAAATATATCCATGCACTTTAGACAACAAATTCCAGGATGTAGACATATACTCATGCTATTTTAGATCCCTTTTCCTATCATTGCAAGAGGCTATTGAAGCTAATGTAGCAGCTGGCTAGGTTATTGCTTCTATAATATAATCCATAATGCAAAAGCAGCTATTTCCCAAACATTTTAGAGCAAGTCAAGTTGTTTACACATCTCTGTAAGGTAATTTTCCTAAAACTTTGTGCCAATTGGTGTCATACTATTTGGGAAAAATCTTCATTAAATCAAGACAACTACACTTAGTTAAATTCTCTCTCACACGGAGAATTGTAGGAAAATTACAGTTAGCTGATTGGAGGCCATCATCATGGAGTAAATACAGGGTTTTAGAAAATGAATGCAAATTACAAAAATGGAGTTGTATAATTAAACATCAAATAGTCTAAGTAATAAAAGTCATAGATTAATTGTCTCTCAGTTCTAGTCAGATCCTTTAAATATTGTCTCACTACCTGAGCATTGGTTCTTTCATCAGAAGAGTGCCTATCCTTAAAGTTTGGAAATTTCAGCCCTTTTGGAGCGCCCACGAGCTGTAAAAAGTAATTGGCGTCTTCTTCCAAAGTTTCGAATTTCCCTACAAAATCATAGTTGATCAAACACGGATAGCAGAGTTTGCTGACCTTTTCCCAGTGAATGTCCATCCCTACAGGACGGTGGGAATCCAGCAAATAGTGGACAAACTCTTTGAATTTGACTCCTGATCCATTATTTAGTGCTTCTTCACAGGCATTTGGCCGATATTTCTTTATAATCGCCTTCCCAAATACCGGATGGTAATAGCTATTGGGGTGTTCAAATTTGTCCCTGAATGCGGACACTAACCTTTCCATGGGATCACGAACAAAAACAGCTTTGGTGTAGGTGTTCAAGCGAGAATATATCCCTTTTAAGTCAAAGCTATCTAGTTTTTTCAAATGCTTCCCGTAGTGAACAGCATCATGGGAGATGTTGTATGCAGAGGAAGCCAACCCACTTAGTACCATCAGAATTCTCTTCCAGTTGGAGCAGCCAGCCTTGGGTACTTCACAATATAAGATTTTGTGTTTATCTTCCACATAGATCCTGGATACCATATGAAAAAGATGTGACTGAGGACGACTCACCCCACCATATTTCTTGCAAAACTCCTGAAGGAAAGACCTGCGTGTCTCCTGGGCCACATCTGTTTCCTTCCACTTGTTGTCTTTGACTAAACTTTTGTTTAAAGGGTGGATGTCCAATGGCCATTTCCTTTCACTGAACTTCTTAAAAACGGTCTTAGTTCCTTCAAGTTTTTCACTTAGCTTAATTGTTTGTGGCCTTGTGGGCTTACCCAAAGCTCCATCCTCTCCTTGTGAGTGGCTAGTCTTCCTTAAGACCCTAGTCGGCCTCTCAGAGTTGAGCAGAAGATTTTCCTTTTTTCCCTTGGGCTCCTCAGTTATGTGGAACTCGGGGTTCTGTTAAAATGGAGAAGGAGAAATGTTGAAAGCATATTCACAAACCCGGGAATACAAGAATCGTAACATATTTGTTTTAGAATACTATCGAGGAGAGCACATTTCATGTAAGCTGCCAAAACAATTTAGCAAAGCATGCTGAATATACATTCTGTAGTAAGTTTCTTCAGAGAAGATATAACAATGAAAAATGGTATCCATGCTTCATTCTGAACCAAAGTTTCACATTTTATATTATATAGATTTGGGTTACTTACATGTTATCATTCATTTAATGTTAATGTGCTGCATTACATTAATAGATTTTCTCATGCTAAATTATCTGAGTGTTATTGGGATAAAACTACTAGTATTGATTTGAGTCTATGATCATAGTAAATCAGTTATTGTTTTCATACTATGTTTGTTATCTGTGGTTATCAATTATATAACCTTCCAAAAATGTGCGTGTGCGCGCATGCACACACGCACACGCACACACACACACACACATGCACAGAGTAAACACAAGACGGAAAGGAGAGTGTCCTGAATTTTCATCTTAGCTTTGCCTGTAACACAACTCCATCATCCTGTACTCCATCATCCTGTAGGTCTGTAGGTCAATAATTCTTGAGCTATTTGGGAGCATATTACCTTCAAGCAATGATTTAGTTAGCGCACTAAAGGTAGATATAAAATGCAGCTGTATTTGGATTGAATTTTTTTTTTTTGTTTTTGGGGTATTCTGTAAACACAGAAGAGTTCAAAGTCATAAATTACAACTTAAAATTGTAGCAAGGCTAAATATAAAATCCTCGTGACCATTTCAGTTTTCCAAGCACTTGCAAAAAGAGAGATTTTTTTCCCTTGGAAAATGATTTATTTTATAAAATTCATTTATCGTAATAACTTAATAACTGTAATCATACAATTTCATTCATGTATGAAAACTTTCCTCCTTCCCAAGCAAAGAATGATTAGGGAATCCAGAAAAGTTTATTTGATACCCTGCTATATTAAATGAAAAATAGGACACGAATTTAGTTCTTTTGTCAGTGGGATGAATCAGCCTACCTACCATCTACTGTTCATCTGACTACATCCTTCCTACAGCTCTTGCAATGATTGCATAAGGGAAGACACGGAAGACAAGATTTACAAGGTGGTGTCCTCTCTTAGGGATAAAAATTGTAAAGACTTTGGCTTTTACTCTGGGTAAACTAGAGAGCCATTGAAGGGCTCTGAGCAGAGAAGTAACATGATCTTACTTAGACTTGAAAAGGATGGTTGAGGAGAAGACTGGCCTAGAGATATACATATAGAATTGTCAGCATGTTATTGGAAAACTAATGAATAAATGATGTGCTGTGGGAATAATGCATGGGGCCGCCAGCTTAGTGGTGAAGGGAGTGGTGGGGAAAGTTTCTTAGGGGTTATCTATCTATTATCTATCTATCTATCTATCTATCTATCTATCTATCTATCTATCATCTATCTATCTATCATCCAACCCTCCAGTTAACCACTGTAACCCCAATGTCTAGAATGGTCGATAGCCTATAATAATTGCTCTCACATATTTGTTGAATGAATAAATGGAATTAAGTCTTCTGGGTTGATTAGGAGTATCCTAGCAAATTGAGCAAAAGAGCAGAGAAATAAAGCACCGTGGATGGGAGCCACCTCCAGGCATCATGGTCCTGGTACTAGCTGAGCTTTAAGTGGGGTGGGGTGGGGGTGGGGAGTGCTTTTTCCTAGCGCAAGAAGATTGTGTGAGTAACCCCTCATCGCCATACACCAGCTTAGGTAGCCACATAAACCAGCTGCCCAAATCTTCCTTAGCATTGAGCCAAATGTTTGTGGCGTGTCAACTCTAAAACCATTTGTCTCTGTCTTCTCAGAAACTGCCAGAATGAGGTCAAAATCCTGAATCCGTCTTTACCCTGATCAATGACCCGAAGTCCATAAAGTTTTCACAGATGATCTGAAATTTGACCTGAGCTTTGGAAGATCATGGAGTTACTAGGTGACTGCATGGGAAGTACTTAGCACAGGCCTGATGTAAAACTGTCAATATATTTCTGCTGCTACGTCTTCTACTACTAACAACTATAAATAATATTTGTTATTATTATTATTTTATAGTAGTAGTAACAATGTTTTATCCCAGTGACCTAGTAAATTTCAAGATTCCCCAGCTGTCCATTATTATCCAGACTGTAATTTGTGTGTCTCTACATGTACCCTAATTATTTCTCTCTTGCCCCACTGCCAAGAACAAAAATGAAATCAGCCTTCCACTGTGCCCCCTGGACCTTCTGCTTGTGGTCATCAAATTCCCTTTTAATCTCCAGAGGCTTCTGGAATGTTTGTCTCCCATGACTTTCTCTACATGAAACCTGGCCGGCCCCCAAGACTCTGCTTCCCTTGTACTTTCTCAAGAAGACACAACTTTATTTCCTTAAACCACCTGTCCCTCCGGCCAGAAGACAGGGAACGATTTCCTTGGACTTCATTGCTGCTTCCAGAACATGTCCACCGGCAAGAGCTTCTGCTTCTGTGAAGTGTGTGTGTCCTGCTCAACTGCCCTTCCTCCTCCTTGCGCTGTTGGCTGCCTTTACCCCTGATCTTTCTGCTTCATGCACTGAAGACTTCAGCTCCTAGCTTAGACTTTGCTTCTCATTCCCATTCTTGTCACTGTGTGTGGTGACTCTGACACCCAATAAACTCTCGGCCCCTTGACCTCCCTGCTGAACAGGGAGCCTGATGTGGGACTTCATCCCAGAACCCTGGGATCATGACCTGAGCTGAAGGCAGATGCTTAACCAACCTGAGCCACCCAGGGGTCCGGACCACCTCGCTTTTAATTGAAGTGTTCTTAATTGCATGTAGACCTTGCCATCACCAGAGCCTGCGCCACCTCCATCGTCTCTCTGACCACCATCTTCTAACCTTCCTGCTCATCGTTACTTCCAGTTTTGCAATTCTCTGACCACTTCTCACCATGTTACTCAAGCTCTTAGCAGCCAGCAAGCCCGGTTCTTCTCTTCACTCTCAGAAAATCACCTCTGTGGGGAGGCATTCCCTCTCTACCTTCTCTAAATTATGTTCTCCTCTGAGATTCTCTCCCATATAAGTTTCCCCAATAAGAACGCTGCTTATTTTCCTCAGCATTTATGGCAACATGAAATGATTTTATTTACTTACTTCTGTGTTGTCTCCTCCCATTCCCAGCTCTATTGCAGTAGAATATGACTGCAGAGGTCTTATCTTTTTTGTTCTCTATTGGATCTCTGGTACCTAGCATGTTGCCTGACACACTGAAAATGATCAGTAAATAATTGTTCGGTGGGTAAATGGGATTTTTAAAAAAACCAGAGGTGGATTCTATATTTCACAAGTTTCAAGATACAGTAAAAAATGAATCTGCACATCTCTCTATTAACAGGGTTTATTTACACAATTATATTACACTTCCACCAGCCTTTATACCATATTTAATTAAATAAAAAATAAATTTACAAAAGAGTCTACCATGGTGTTCTTGCCAATGCCAGCTTATGGTCTTTGTAAACTTCTCCTAAACATTGATAGTGGTTATACCTTGATTGTATCATGATAGTGATTTCTTCTTCTTTTTAAATTAATTAATTAATTAATTATTTTTTCTTCTTCCTTTTTAAATCAAAGAGACTAATGTCAGCTTGTTTGTCATTTCAAATAGGAAAAATAGTGCGGTATGATGACTCCCTGCACATAGCCAAGATGTCTTTCTTGTGTACACAAAATCAGAGTTGTGCATGCACCAACAGTCACTGTAAAACACAAGCCATTTTTACTTGGGATATTTTAGATTTTCTTGAAATACCAAGTGGAAGGAGAAATTCAGGTTCTCTTCAATGACTACTACACATTTAAAAATCAGGTGGTGCCTCAGACTATGGTGTTCAGAAAATTTACATTTTCATTTATATTGGAGAGCAATGACTGAGGAAAAAGATTGTCATGAAAATAGAAGTTTTGGGGCGCCTGGGTGGCTCGGTCGTTAAGCGTCTGCCTTCGGCTCAGGTCATGATCCCAGGGTCCTGGGATCGAGCCCCGCATCGGGCTCCCTGCTCAGCGGGGAGTCTGCTTCTCCCTCTCCCACTCCCCCTGCTTGTGTTCCCGCTCTCGCTATGTCTCTCTCTGTCAAATAAATAAATAAATAAATAAGTAAATAAATAAAATCTTTTAAAAAAAGAAAGAAAATAGAAGTTTCTTTTGCTTTCTTTCTTTTCTTTTCTTTTTTAGTATGTTATGTTAATCACCATACATTACATCACTAATTTTTGATGTAGTGTTCCATGATTCATTATTTGCATAGAACACCCACTGCTCCACACAGAACGTGCTCTCTTTAATACCCATCACCAGGCAAACCCATCCCCCCACCCCCCTTCCCTCTAGAACCCTCAGTTTGTTTTTCAGAGTCCATCGTCTCTCATGGTTCATCTCCCCCTCTGATTCCCCCCCTTCATTCTTCCCCTCCTGCTATCTTCTTTTTTTTTTGACATATAATGTATTATTTGTTTCAGAGGTACATCTTTTGCTTTATTTTTTGTGGTAAATGCAATTTTAATTTAATGATGGGCTTCCACACAATTGTTTTATAACCTTGTTGAAGAAAAACTGTTAATTGAAAGGTCAAGGTTAACTTGGAAAATACTTGACCAATTCTTGTCAAGGTGCTGAAAGTCTGTATTCAAACAAATCTTTGGCAGAAGAGAACACAAATAAAATAGTTACACACAAAGCCGCTCATGCTAAAGTAGGCATGGAAGGCTTGGAGTCCTACCTGCCTGCCAAATCAGATTGGTTCAAAGTCACTCCCTGTGCCTGGGAACGTCTGGAGGCTCGCCAGCAATCTGCCTCGCAGCCTCACTGTGGACACACGGAAGCAGAATCTCTGTGGTGGGGCTCCGGACTCGAAGGTAAATAAGCTCCCCAGGCACTCTGCAGGCAGTAATGGCATTTGAGGG